GCACCGAGGGAAGAGAACCAGCTGCTAGAACAGTGCCCACCCCAGGGCTAATCCCTCAAGCTCTGGCCTGAGCTCTGCTTCCTCCTCTCTCCTAGGTCCCCTGGGGGCAACCTCTGGCCTGGGGGGAGGCAGGACCACTGACCTTCACCAGTGACCGCTGTGGCCCCCAAAGGGCAGCTCAGACCAGAGAGATGCTCAGAGGACCTCCCGGCCACCACGGAGGCAAAGCCACATATGGGATGCAGCAGGCCCCTCCGCTGTCCCAGGCCGGCAGAGCCTCCAGAACCCTCCTAAAGCAATAGGGCAGCAACAAAGCTGCCATTAGGGGTTGGGGCATCTGCTGTACCAGGGGGTGGCTTCTGCAATCCCAGACCCCGTATGGTCCCAGGCAGCATGGTCCAGGTGTCCTGGGTCCTGGCCCCTGTCCAAACAGCCCCTGGCGTCTCCCAGCCAGCCCACCCCTGAGGAAGAACCACCGTTGTCCTCCTCGTGCTCCTGGCAGAGGGTGCTGGGGGCACCATCGCTGACCCAGCATCCTCACACACGCATCGGAGGATCAGTGAGCCCCTCCAGGGCAGGCCTCTCTCTCCTGATCCTCTTTGTTGACATGTTGCTGCTTCTCATGAGTCAGGGAGGAGAGGTGGTAGAGCCAGGGCTGGAAAAAGGAGCAAAGTGGGAAAGAACCAGGTCCAGAGCGTTCATGATGACCACTGGGTTTGGTGGGGGGGGGGGGGGGGGCTGATGCAGACCCTTCCCAGACGTGTCTCTGACCCTCGCATTACTGTTTCCAGGCAGGATATAGTTGTCCCCATTTTACAGATGGGGAAATGGAGGCTGGCAGTGGTGGAGACGGTGGCCTACAGTCGCACACCTGGGAGGAGGGAGGGCAGCCAGAAGTCGGACCCACGTCTGACTGATTTCAAAGTCTGTGTTCGTTCCATTCAGCCATACTGCCAGGGAACTCAGCCCTCTTCATGGGGAGCTCAGGGCGGCCCCAGGCAGCTCCTCCAAAGCCTGAAACTCAGAAGCCAAGAAGCCTACCCTAAGGACAGATGCGATGGAGCGGGAAGGAGTCTGGCCTTGGAGACACCAAACCCTGGGACCTGGGGCGGGGCGCCTCACCTCCAGACCTTCCTCTTCTCTCCCAGGGAAGGGGCTCAGAGAACACAGGACTTCTGGAAGCATGCACAACGGGCAGGATGACTTTAGGTGGTTCATCGCCCCCTCTTTTTATTTCAGTGGGGGTAGATATGTTGATTGTGTGTTAGACCAGATAGATACAACCAGCACGTGGAAGTCACCATTTCATGGATACTCTTGCTTAGGCAGTGTCTGGGTGTGATAAAGAGAGCGCTGACTTAAGGGACAGTACTAAGTGAAAACACGGGTGGTGGGGGGGGGCACGGCATATGGGCATGCCCACTTCTGGGAGGCCTGAGCGGCTGGATGACCAGTGTCGACCAGAGGGGATCCCAAGTGGTTAGGAGGCTGGAAGCGGGCTGTGAGGCACTCCATGAAGGCCTGGGTGTGAGAGAGAGAGGGCAGGGGGCAGGGAGGAGGGGCAGAGGGGCAGAGGGGAGCCGGGCTCAAGGGCTGGCCCCAGCGGCCAGCCGTCTGCACCCTCTCAGTGCCGCAGAGCCTGGAGGCCACATTGTCGCCTCCCCTCCCCGGCCGTGCGGTCCGCAGCTGGCTGATGTAAAACACACATGTTTTGACTGAAGCTGCTCTCCCCCCACCTCCTGAAAAACGCCAACATTAAAGGGAGCGTAGCTTTGTAAAACTGAAACTGTAAAACCCTTCTGAAACCCAGCCCGGGGGATTAAAGAAACCACATGAAAAGGGACTTGGGACGACCTGGATGCTGACTTCCTGTTCAGAAGTTCGCTCAACATGTGCCTCCCACCCGGCCAGGGGCGTGTAGAGAGGAGGAGGAGGAGGAAGGCCAGGACCAGTGGGGTCTTGGGGGGCCTCCAGAAGTCCAGCGCTCACAAGGTCCAAGGCCTGACAACCTCACAGCGCCCTCCCCAGACTTCTGACCCCTCGGGGAGCTCTGAGAAGAAGGTGCCCTGTAGCCCTTGGCCTTGGGACCCCGCCCTACAGTTACAGAGGGGTCGGGAGTCGAACAGACCACAGTCACCTACCGTCCTACTTCCCTGCCTCTGCCAGTCTCCCCTGCTGCTCCCGACACCATGTCCCTGGCCCTGGACCCTTGGACCCCAGCTCAGACTCCCGGTCAGTCCTGGTTAAGAGCCTCCCCCAGGCACCGGGGCTGCGACTGCAATTCAAGTCTCAGCTCTGCCCTTATTCTCCAGGGGACGCCCAAGGAGCTACCCTTGGGAACTCTGCACCTTTTCCCTCCCCACGTCACCAAGCAGGGGAAAAGTAGAACAAGCAATGTGTGTGCAAGGATGCTGTGATCAGGAGGGCACAAGGTGGTCCTCACTCTGCTCTCACAAGCCTGAGGCTGGAGATCCCCCCCCTCATCGGTCTCCCTCTTGCTACATGGCCTTGGCCAAGTCCCATCTCCTGTCTGGGCTCAGGACCCTCATCCTGGGAAAAAGAAGGTAGGGTGGGCTAGGTCAGAGGGAAAGCTTAGGCTATGGCCACGCACACTCACACACCCATCACATATACTCCCTTATGGACAAACAGTCACCCCTTATCACACACACACCCCTACACACACAGACACACACCACAGGCCACTTGGTGGCCACCACCACCCCCATCTTCATTACCACCCTCCTCCATTATATAAACTCCCTGTGCCCTCCAGTGTCCCCCGCAATCACTTACCTAATATTAGGATATTAAAAAATATGGCAAGATTTTAAGAGACTTATTAAAATGCAATTAGCAGCGTGTACGACTTAAGCAGGAAGATTATTTTTAAAAATGACTTGATTGTGCAGAATACCACGCACCTTCCCGAGGCCGTAAACCTGCCAATCATACACATGCTCAAAGGAAGAGGCTTCCTCACTTTTCTTTGTCCTTCAGGGTTTTCTCCTGCGCCCGGTGACCATGACGGCTGTGGTCCCTCACCCACCAGACACACACACACACACACACACACACGCACGCACACGCATTCTGAGCCCCCTCAAGAGACCCCTCAGAAGGAAGCTAAAGGGTTAATCGGGTCCAAAGTCAAGCCCGGAGAAGTTTGGAGAAACTGGCCAGAGGGTAGGCAAGGGGATGGAGAAGACCCCACCCCATGACCCCCACCCCATGATGATTTAGATTAGCAGAGACTGCAGCAAGAATAAGGACGACAAGCAGTCCTGGCTGCGAAGGGGTTGGGGTGGGAAGGGCTGAAGGGAGGAGGGAGAAGTCCCAGGTTGTGGGTTACAGCTGACCCCCTGAGCCTCCGAGACCCCCTGCCCGCGGCGCCCGCGGCGCCCCCGGCCCGGCCCCCGCCCGGCCCCCGCCCCCGCCCCAGCTGGAACGGTGGGTTATGCTGCCCCCTGCCGCCCGCTCTCCACACTGCAGCCCCGCTCCCAGGACCCGGCTGCGGAGCGAAGGAACTCGCGTGGTCCAGGGCCGACCCTTCTCCAGCTGCGGGGTTCACGAGAAGGACCCCGGATCTTCCAGGCTCTAACCTGAAGCGAACCACGCATCTGGAAACGAAACCTGGGGACCGTTCTCCAGCCGCCCCCTCCCCGGCTGCCCCACCCCTGGCTGAAGGAGTTTATCAAATGTGCCTGCTACTTCCTGGCATTAGGCTCCCGCTGGCACTTTTATTCCAACCATAAAAAGGCTATTTCATTGAGAAATAAAGTCCCATCTCCCTGACGTGTGACTCCTTTCAGAGCTCTCAGCCGCCAGGCAAAATTTATGTTTCCCGGATGCTCTCTCCTGGGATTGCAACTGGAAATTGGGGAGATGGGGCTGGAAGGGGGAATTTCCTCTGTAGCTGATGGACTTGTGCTTATTCCTTTGGTCTGAGGAGCACTGGAAACCCAAGGTGTCCAGCAGAGAGCCCTTGCCTTGGAGTGAAGAGGCCAGTGTTTGAGCCCCGGTTCTGCCACCTATTAGCTGTGTGAACTTTGGTAAAGTCCTGAGCCTCAGTTTCCTCATCCATAAAATAGGAAGAGCAGTTCCTCTCTTCCTCAGAGAGATGGAGCTAGATGCACTGAGCACTTAGAAGCTGTAGAAATGTCAAGTACTGCTATTATTATGGAGGCAGAGGAATTCTCTGACTTGGGGTGCGGGCAGGGGGAGCTGACACAGATTTTCCCAAGCAGTGAGTGGTCCTCAGCTTCTGTGTGCATCAGATTCACCTGGAGGGCTTGTTAAAACACAGATTACCGGTCTCCATCCTCTGTGTTTTGGGGATCTGTAGGTCTGGGATGGAGACCAAGAATTTGCTTTTTTTTTTTTTTTTAACCGATTTCTTAGGTGATGCTGATGCTGCTGGTCTGGGGACCCCACTTTGAGAATCATTGTTTTGAGGGCTTTGAGATCTGGGATGTAGGGCACCTCAGCCTGGACCTTGGGAGAGGAATGAGAAGCCGGTGGGGGGTCACCTTTGGGGCAAGATAAGGGTGAGCTCTGGCCAGCTACAGGGTAGTGAGAATCTGTCCATATCATCCCATCTTGTCCCCCACTGGCTTGGCCTGTGTCTCTGGTGGCCCCCACTGCCAGAGACAAGACCTGTGAGCAGCAGAGAGGTCAGGCAGTGGCCCGGGGCTAGGCTGAGCTGGAGTCTCTGAAGATGGACTCTCGGGGGTGCGGGGTGCCTGCAGACCTACACGGGAGACTCTTGACTTGTCTCCCCAGGAGTGGAAGTTGCCTGGCCATCCACTCCTGTTCCCTGTTTCAGCCTGTTCCTGAAACAGAAGCCCAGAGAGATTGAACTGACTTGCTCAAGGTCACACGGCTTGGACAGGACACCCAGAAAAAGCCCTTACTGGCTATGCAGTAATTTGGAGGATGACGAGGTTGATGACTCCAATTCCAGTGTAAGTAATATTCAAATACCCAGTGGAGACTTGCCGCTAAAGCTGGAAGAGCACGTTGTCGTACAAGTCTGCCGTGGGAGCGTCTAAAATCTGGGTATTCAAGACCTTCAATGAGGGAACAACAATGAGCCTGGATGTCACAAGGCATGAAAATTGGCTTTGTTGGTCAGGGAGGAAAACCCAAAAGAGAAACTGGCCCATGGCTGCTCTGTGTAACAAAACAGGATAGTAAATGCATCACAGACCCTGACGGGGTGAAAAAGATGGGGATCCAAGCTACTGGGGGGGAGGGAGTCACGCAATGTCTAACCCACCCCAAATCCCAGATTGTCTGAGATCCTGCCCCGCAGGATGCTGACCTGGAGGGGAAGAGCCACTCCTTGCCAGGATCTCACTGATCACAGACACGTCAGCCATAAAGAAATGATAGCCAGACCTGGAAAGTCTCAACAGGACGAGTGGAGGCCCCCCAAGCAGGGAGAACACTTGTGCCCGTGCCCACGCCGCCCCGGGATTGGGCACAGGTGCGACCCAGGCCCTGGGAGACCCAGAGCCCTGGTCACTCATGGATCTGGGGCTGTCTTGTATTGAGGGAAAACGAGACTCCCCAGAAGCCTGAGCACTTTCTCACGAAACGCAGCTTGTCCCGGGTTTGAGTCAGTGTGGAGTGGAGCAAGGGGAGAGAAGAGGAGTAAAGTGGTTGGTTGCAGCTGCGCCCTCCGCTGAGCTGGGCCAAGTGCCCAGATCCGCGTAGCCTTGCCGCTTGCTGCCTGCTGGGGGAAGAGCCATTTACGCCAGGTAAAGCCTGGAGATTTCATTAACTCCCTTCCCTTTGTCTCGTCTCCAAGGGCGCAGGGTGGTTAAACAAGCAGAGGACTTGGTAAAGGGTCAGCCCCGCTTTAAAGGACTCTCTTGGCTGCGTGGTGGGGCGGGTGGGGGTGGCCTAGTCCTCGAGGTCCCAAAGCTGGGTGGTTCGGCAAAGATGGAGAAGGGGAGGAGGGAGATGGGGCAGAGGCGGGGCGGGGAACAGAGACACAGAGACTACAGGCCAGCGTGGTGACATGTCTCCCACATCACCTGCGGCCACCTTCACGGAGTCATCTGGACAGAGGGTGGGAGTGGCACCTCGAGAGGAGCCCTTTAAATCATCTTCCTGGGGGGCGGGTTGGCCTCTCTCAGCCAGGCCTCCCTCCCCCATCCCCTTTCAGCTGTCCCTGCCCTCGGATGCCCACTTTCCAGCAAGCTTTTTGGGGCCAGAATAAAATCTGGGCTCCCTCGTGCCCGCTCCCTCCTGTTCACTCCGCCAGCTTCCATTGCCTTCTTTCTGTCCCTCCAAACCTCCTCGGATCCCGTGCACTTGCTGTCCCTCTGTCTGGATGCCCCTCTCCACCACCACCCCCCCCACGCCCCACTCTTTCCTGGTTTCCCCTTCAGAGGGATTGCCGTGACCCTCCCGCCCCAACCTACGCCCCATCCAGGTGGTGTGTTTGGGTCTCTTCAGAGCACTTGGAACCAGCTGAAGTTGTCCACGTGTGGCTTTATTTTCCATCTCCAGCCCCCCGTCACACACACCCACGCATTCACACACCCGTGTGCCCACTAGAACTTTCGCTCCCACACGAGGGACTTTCTCTGTCCAATTTACGGTTCCCTTCCCAGAGCTGCAACAGCGTCTGGCACAGAGAACGCACTCCATAAACATTTGTCAAGTGACGGGGGCCGTGATATGCACTCTGAGAAGGCAGCTGGGGGTCTGGAGAACCAGGCAGCAGTGAGCCCACAACATCAGCCCTGGGCTCTAGCCCCCTTCCCCACCGGCCTAGGAACATGATCTTCTAGCCTGGGAACCATGGGCTCCTGTGAGGTGATCCCAGCCTAGGGGAGGTCAGTCCTTCTTTCTTCCCCCGGGCTGGGCCACCCAGCCAGGTGCCCTGGGCAGCCGCCGCGGCCTCGGGCCTCCTCCTGCTGGCTTCCCCTGTAGGTGTCAGGCTTGCCTTGGCATGGGGGCCGCCGTCCCTGGGCAGCGGCTGCCCGCAGGGGAACCGCCTGGCAGGGCGGGCGGGGGGTGGGGGGGTTGGCCTTGGAGTCACGGCTCCGATTCAAGAAGGGAAATCATCCGAGCTTTTAAAAAATTAAATGGAGTCAGTAATTTGATTTCAGAGAGAAGCTGAAAACCTCGTAATGGCAGGAGCAGCTCAATTCCGTGGTGAAAAGGAAAAGCCTTAAATGGGGCTATTAAGCTTTTGCCTGGGATGGATCTGCCCGGAGAAGGAGGAAGGAGGGGGGGCAGGCAGCGGGGAGAAGTCGTCCTAGAGGTAGAGACCGTTTATCAGCGGAGACAACCCTGATTATTTATTTATTTATTTGTTTCGCATTCCGGGCGTTGCCCACGGCCGCCTCTCCTTGGCTGCGATTCAAATCCCACTTTCAGCAATGGGCCGGCCCGGAGGGGGCAGGGGTGCCCCCCTTCCAGGGAAGCACCCAGTGCTGCTCCCACTCAGGCCACAGCTGGGCTTCTGGGAGCACTGGTGTCCCCGGAGGTCAACGGGGGTCACCTTAGCTGCCCAGGCCAGCGGGGTACCAGCTGCTGCCATGGGAACCAGAGGCAAAGAGTAGTGAGTCATGAAAACAAAGCAGCAATGCTCCCCATTCTCCTCTCATGGGGTCCTTGAGAGACCTAGGGTTGTGACCCCGGAAGCCCAGGGGGAGGCATCTCACGCTGCAGGATCTTATCATCGCCCAGCACCCCCAGAGATGTCTGAGCTGTGGCTGAAGGCCTTCTGTACTTTCCTGGAACGAGCAAGCATCCCCTCTGCCTGGGCCTGGGAGCCCTGCAGTTTGGCTGTTCTGATTTGCCTGAATAGCTGCCAGGGTAACCACGAGAATGACTTACACGTCCTGAGCACATGCTGTGTGCAGGGCCCTGCGCTCAAGGCTTTACGTTTCCTCCCTTACCCCTCAACGGCCCCAGCTATTCTCACCCCCATTTGCCTGATCAGGAAACTGAGGCACAGAGAGGTTAGCGCCTTGCCCAAAGCCACACAGCCGAAGAACGGAGAGACCGCAGCAGCCTGGCTACAGAGCATGCACGCTTTCCCCCTCTCCGCCCCCCATGCCTCACCACATCACAGGGAGTGGGCAAGCACGCAGACGCTGGCGGTCCCAGCGAGCCAGAGGCACGCCCAAATACTGTCCTCCCCACTCCTTTGTGCTTGGCATCCCCTGGGGCGCTCCCAGGACTTACCCCAGCAAGGGGGCCTCTCAGAAGCCCCTCCATGTGGTTCTGAAGCTCGGGAGACCTATAACTTTCAGGACTGGTTGCCACTGTGGGCTGTGTCGGCTCCTGCCAGGGTGTCCCCTGCTGAGCAGAAAGGCTCTCCGGGTTTGGCCAGGCTGGACCAGGAAACGTCTGCAGGAGCCCACGGGCTCTGAGTTTGCTGGACATGTTCGCGGCCCCCCAACTCAGCCTACTCCACTGGCCAGGGGCTGACTCGAGGCCTCAGGCTCTCTCTCACCCTCCCTCCGAGGAAGCTGCGGGCTCCTTAGAGGTACAGGCCAGTGAACTCTCCAGAAGAGCTGTCGGGGGCTGCCTGCCACTGGCAGCTGCTGGGCCCACCCTGGGCCTCCCCGAGGGCTCAGGCGGGCACTGGGCCTAGCTGCTGCCACCAACCTTGGAAGGGCTCACAGCAGGGCAGTGACTGTGGCATATCCATTCCCTGCAGGAGGATAAGTCCTGACTTGGTCCTGGGATGGCAGGTCTAGGTGCCCCTTAGCCTCCTCCCCGACGGCCCTGAGGCCTCCATTATGGAGGGTGTTTCCTGGGGCTCTCTGGGGTTTGGGGGGAACATCAGGAAGCCAGTGCCTCTTCATCCAGGCTGGTCATCGAGAGCCTTGTCAAAGGCCGGACCTCCTGGCCAGCCTGGCCACGTCCCCCTCGCCTGGGCTAGTTGGCAGCCACGTCCCCCCTGACAACATTCCCAGCAGGAGGAGACCTCTGGGTGGCTGGGCAGGGCCCTGCTCAGGCCTTATAGCTCAGGGTGACAGACTGTCAGGGTGACAGATGGCCTTGAGACCAGGAACACTTCGGACTGTTCGGACGCCCAGAGAGGCAGCCGAGGAGAGGAGACATCTGAGAACAAATGAATGGTCAGGCCGTGGGGGCTTGGAAGACCGGACAAGGGGGCCGGGGCCGGCCTGGACGGCTCCCATGGACTCTGAGGACAGTGCAGCTGAGGACGGGGCGGGCCCGGGTAACGCCACGTTCCCCGGGGGAGCCCAGGGGCCATGTTTCTTCTACAGGTTTGGCTATTTGCAGGAACGGTCCAAGCCCCTTTTTCAGTGGGAGAGCAGTGGAGAGAGAAAAAGCATCAGAAATCGGAGGATGTGAGCCTAGGCCAGGCCGAGGATGGCAACCCAGCGATGGCCCTTGGGAGCTATGCCCTCAAGCTGGTGCCCCAGGCCTGCTCCCAGGCTCCAGCCACAAGGCCTTTGAGGCACGCCTTGGTTTTCCTTTCTCCACATGCACAGTCGCTGACCTCACCCACCACCTTTTTTTACCAGCTCTCAAGGCCCCGGGGTGCAGGTCAGAGTGGGGCTCCCTTGGGAATAATGGTGATGAAGGAGAAGGGTCTCAAGCCAGGCTGGGTCCACCAACGCCTCGTGGGGATGGGGCCCTTCAGAGGAAATTGCGGTGGGGAGGCCAGGTGATGGACTGGGCTTCGGAAGCCTCGAGAGCGAAGCTCTGACAGAGCCCTTCCCAGAGGCCACCCGTGGCAGCTGATCCTGCAGATTGGAACTGGGGAGAGACAGCAGGTGGAATTCCTGCTGGAAGGGTCTCCCCTCCTGGGAACGGTGGAGCAGGAGCAGTCCTCAGTGCGGCAGTTCAAGCAGACAGCTCCCTTCCAGAATTTTCCAGAAAGGAAGCAGGGGTCAGTTCTCCTCCCAAAGAGACACGATCCTCCCCGCACCCTGGTGAAAGGGCCACGCATGTCCCCCTTTTACAGATGGGAAAATAGAGGCTTTGGGAGCTCAAATTCAAGCACTGGGTTAAGAACCTACCTTCACTGGCTGAATTTCACAGACCCTGGACCTGGAGTCCTTGCTGAGAATACGTGAGTGTCAAAATCTTTTTTTTTTTTTTTTAAGATTTTATTTATTTATTTGACAGAGAGAGACACAGCGAGAGAGGGAACACAAGCAGGGGGAGCGAGAGAGGGAGAAGCAGGCTTCCCCCCGAGCAGGGAGCCCGATGCGGGGTTTGGTCCCAGGACCCTGGGATCATGACCTGAGCCGAAGGCAGATGCTTAACCGACAGAGCCTCCCAGGCACCCCGACCTGCAGCGGGTCTTAAATATATTTTAGATTAACTGATGAAATCTTGTAACCAGCTTCTCCTGGAAAATCAGAAGATTTGGCGGGGTCTGGGGGCCACCAGCTCACTGGCATCTCCACCACGTCTTGTCCTCTCCATGGCCTTCAGCACCCTCCCTTGGGCCACTGGTTCACTCCCCCTCACTCATTTACACTCCCTGCCTGACCCATAGAGGTATTTTTGTCAGAACCTCTGCTTTAAAATGTGAAACAGGGCTGGCTGGTTAGCTCAGCTGGTTAGAGCGTGGTGCCGATAAAATGTGAAACAGCTATAGTTTAACCATCCTGCTGGTTTTTCATCTCCAAGCTGGACAGCCCCTTGCTTCCACTATCCTTGACATCTATGAGCTTAAATAATTAGGATTTCTCCTATAGGTTCTAACCACTTGGCGGGGGGTGGGGGGAGGGATGAAAAAGACTCTGTAACCACAGAGTGCTTAGGCAATCCCAGTGCATTAAATATTCCAGTGCATTAGTCATATATTTACACAGAGAAATGTTCTTTGTCTAAAACGTTTTTTAAAAATTCCTGGTGAAAATGTAGCCCGACAAGCATCTATTAAGTGCTTACCAAGGGGAAGGCAGTATGATAAGTCCCAGGAAGAATAAAATGCTGAACAAGACACAGCCCTTGACCTCAAAGCATTCCCATACAAGAGGGAGAGACAGGAGGGTGAGCCAATAACCATAACAAGAATAGAAAGACCTAGAAGCAACAATACAGAGAAGATTAGCAAGCCCCCTGAGCAAGGATGACACACAAATTCGTGAAGCATTCCATATTTTAAAAGAAAGAAGGAAAGAAAAGAAAGAAAGAAGGAAAGGAAGGAAGGAAGGAAGAAAGAGGGAGGGAGGAAGGAAGAGAAAGAAAGAAAAAGAGAGAAAGAAAGAAAGGGGGAGACAGGGGAGGTGCAGGGAAGGTGTGCTGGGAGCCAGGGAGAGGAGAGATTCATTCTGGCTGCTGATATTAAATTAATAAAACGAGGAAGAGAACATTCTTTGCCCATGTAAATCTTTCCAGAGAGGCCAAAAAGTCTTCTAAATTGTTCTTATCACTGTTGCTGAGCTATTTTTGTATTTTATTTACTATGTCCCTATCAAGAACCCACCCTCGCTTCAAAGCCTGGGACAAAGATCATCTGCCCCTTGACATCTCCCGCCAAGCCCGCCTGCCCTCCTTTATAACTTTATAACTCTCCAGACATTTCTTTCCTCCCCTTCGAGACTGGACGCCGCTTGAGAGCAAGGGCTGAAGCTGGAGGCCTCTGTTCCCTCCCCAGCCTCATAAGGGCCCTCCCTCAGGCAAGTGCTTAGTGAATATTTGTTGGATAAAGATCTAGCCCTCCCTTTCCAAAATCAATGTCAATGCTGCAGGAAACTGTTAAAATAAAAACAGCCAGAATGTGTAGAAACTTTCAAGAAACATTTCCATTCTCAGCAGACTGTTAGAACTCATCCCCCACCCCGCTTTTTCCCTTTGTTTCTAATTCTGAATTTGGGGCTAGATGTGGTAGGCAGTCCCCCTTTTAATCTTTAAATATAGTTCTGAATATAATTACATTTTTATGCAGCACCGAAACATCATATCCTGGTAACGGGGCATTCTTGCACTATTAACATCTGCGTTAAATCTCCTTCGCGTCTGTCTTCTATTGAGGACAGTTGTGAAGTCTAAGATGAAAGTAATCGACATCATTTGTGAATTATGTGTATTTCCTTACGCTGTATATCAATGGGTTTTGCTCCTGGTGGTTTTGCGAATACCAGGTTGTCTGGTAGCCGGGCTTTCGCCGAAAACCCCTTTCAAGACATGGATCCCAGCATCCTGGCACAGAAGACACACACCGTGTTTAGAAGAGCATTCGTCCTGGATTAAGGAATAAGTTGCATCACGCAGCGCTCTTTGCCAAAGAGCCTGATCCGTCTCGTAAGCGACCTGAGGAACTGGAGCCCACACAGACAGCTGGGCGGATCAAAATGGAAATGGCTCATCTTGTGCTAGGAACTCTGCTAAGCTCCTACCCCTGTCATCTACGGTCTTCCCTACAGGTACCCGTATTCCCATTTTGCAGATGAAAACACTGAGGCTCAACAAGGTTAAGTGACTCGCAGAGGTCCTGCAGCCAGCTAGGCATTGCTGTGGGGCCACAAAGAGTTAGTTGCACATGGCAGGGTGCATCCTGTCCCCCAGGGTCATCCTCCCAGGGGGCCACCCTGGCAAGAGTGCCAGGCCCCAGGGGTATGAGCGGCAAGGATCCATCTTCAGCTGGCCCCACAGTTCTGCCTTCCACGTCTCTGATTCCACTTGGTGTCAGTGGCTCGAAGAAGGGACCTCCACGAGGGTCAGGACAGCTGCTGCCACCACCAGGACACTGAGCTGGACCTGGAGCACCCTAGCCACCAAGTGGCTGATCACCACAAAGTCCCTGTTTCGGGTCCCTGTGAAGGTGCAGGTGGGAGCCTTTTTTTGACCAGACCCAGTCTCTGCTTTGGGATGTGAAGCAAGACCTCAGACTCTGGCTGGGATGACCCTGGAATGGGGAAGGATATGTGACACAGAAATATGCACACTTTGGGGCGCCTGGGTGGCCCAGCCGGTTGAGCGTCTGACTCTTGATCTCGGCTCAGGTCTTGAACGCAGGGTCGTGAGTTCAAGCCCCGCGTTGGGCTCCCCGCAGGGCGTGGAGCCTACTTGGAAAAAAAAAGGAAAAGAAAGAAAAAAAGAAAAATACACACTTTGCAGGTATGTGGACAAAAGGGTGGTGCCAGGTCCTCAGCCAGGGGCCATGCGCACGGCCAGCCCAGCACGCTTCCTGATCGGTGACATGAGATTACCTGATGCTTGGTGTCACTGCTTGGCAGAAGAAAAAGGCCATCCCCAAACATCCAGGGGACCCTGCCATCTGTGAAGGCCCATAAGGAAGCAGATGCCAGGAGCAGGACTGCCCCCCAGAAGCTGCAGAAATGTCTCTGCCGAGACTGTCTTTAGCTTTAGTGACCCAGCCTGGTGCCCCATCCTCACCAAAGCTGCTCTTAAGAAACAAAGCTCGTATCAATTGTTTACACTTTAGCAAGAATTTCATGTGTCAGCCTTCTCGTGGGGGGCATTTTAAGCCATCTCTGCAGTGGCTAAATGAAAGCACCTGCCTCCAAATAAACGCTTTCAGGCATCATGAACAAGGAAAGAGATGTCTGGGGGCTTGGCGTGGCCATCCCTAGTGCCTTAAAATCACCAGAGCCCTGAAACTTGGTCCACGATAAAATTCTATCCCATGCTAAGTCTTAGTCCTCTCTGATCTAGCCACACGGGGTGAAGCCTTTGATCCACCCAACTTTGCATACAGAGTTCCTTAGAATTTAAACTTCCCAGAGGTAGGAAGTGCTCTTCCAGATTCTAGGGCTCTCTGTATTATACCCCGGGCTGAACGAAGTAGTTATTACATACAGGGTCTAGATTGGGGTCCCAACCTCTGGTGGATCACGAAGCCCCGGAGGGCCAGCTGAAGGCCGCAGACCCTCTCCCATCTCTGTTCTCAGACCCCCTGGAGCCCATGTAAGGACTTCCCCGGAGTATAAAGACCCCGGGTTTGGAAGTCCCTAGTAAATGATTCCACTTTGCACCTATATACCACACCCAACCCAGACTCCGTACACACTCATACCCTCCAGGACAGCAGAGGTCTCTTTGTCCCAAGCAATTCAGGGATGCAAGGTCAAGGTTGGGGCTATGAAGAGGTGAGGTGGGGTGGGGCCTTGGGGAGAAGGTGCCCAGAGGAGGGAGGAACACAGAAGGGACGGAACGAGCGAGAGATGAAGCCAGACAGGGTGGACTTAGGGGCGCTCCCGGGCCTTACCCAGTAAGCAAGCAGCTTCTAAAGAACAGGCCTAAGAGCTGTTCACCAGCCTGACTGGCAGGAGTTCCTCGGACGGGTTCAGCACCTGGTGAGGCAGAAGGGTCCCCCTGTGGCCTCCGAACTGCTCCTTCCAGACACGGACTCCCTCCGCAGGGGCCCCCTCACACTTCCAGACTAGCCTCTGGACTAGGTGTCTAGCCTCCGGACGAGCCCCAGGTGCCACAGAGCTCAGGTCAGAGGCTGCTGCTTCAGTGCAACCCGGAAATATTATTGAGCCCGGATATTTTTAGCAGGAATCGAGCTCCGAGCAAATGTCATGTGAGCCGTCTTCTCTTCCACGGCAACTCCGGGCTATTTAAAGAGATGGTAATTATGCTCCTGCCACCATGATCAGGACGGGCTGAATGCATGATTGCAGGAGCCCCTCATCTGCCATGCGGAGCACTTTACGCTAATGGAGCCCAATTTTCGAAGCCGCCTGCCTAAATCTGGCCGGTGTCCCAGGTGGACAATTGAATTGGCACCGGAGGGGCAGCGGACTGCTCCTTGGGGCCTCGTAGCTGCGCCCAACAGTGGTTCCAAGGGTGCTATGCTGCAGGACTCCCTCTCCCAGCCCGGCACTGACCTCCCGCCTCTGAAGCAGGTCTTGCCTTGGGCCTTGGACGGTAACGGGGGTGGTATCGACGCCCACCTAGAATCCCACCAGGCCGGCTTCTTGCAGAAAAGCTCCCAGCTCCCCCTGAAGGGACAGCAGCCATGGGATCTAAAGAAACGGGACACACTCATCAACGGTCTGACCAAGGAGACGTGGTCACTAGGGGGACAAGGAGAAGGCTCCCTGAGGGGACACTCAGGAAGGTGACAGGACCAAGGGGGGATGGGCAGGAGCAAGAAGCAGGGCAGCAGGCCACTCGGGGAGGAAGGCGAACCGGACACTTGAGGGGAGCGCTTGGCACATAGTAGGCGCACCCACTAGGCGGCACACGGGCGCACCTGGGGTCCTGTTCTTGGCTCCCTCGGCAGGGCGTTAGTGGACATTGGCGATGGGGGCCCTGAATCTAGGTGGGTGCCCGGAGGGGGGAAGGGGGACAGGAGGGAGTCCCCAGACCCTAAGCTAGAAGGACTGGCACGAGGAATTCAGGAGAAGACTTGAGGAAGGGAAAGCTAGCTGACTTCAAATATTGGAAAGGATGTAAAACGGAGAAGGGCCCGGCTCCTTCCAGGAGGCTGCTGAGAACAGACCCGGGACCAGCCAGAGGGAAGTGGGGGGCAGACAGCTCTGCCAAAGAAACGGGTGGCCTTGCAGAGGGATCGAGCTCCCCGGCACTGGAGACTTTTCGGAGAATCTCAGCACAGGAGGGGCCTCCTGCCCAGCCTCCTACCCAAAGCCGGGACCCCTCCTCGGATTTCCTCTCAGATGGCCTCAGACCTCTGCCTGGAGGGCACCAGGGGAAGCTTCCAGCTTCGGCTGCCAAGACACGAGCCCAGAAGAGTTGGCACCATCCACCAGCCCCTCTCCAAAGAAGAACAGAAGTCAAAACCTTCTGCCTCGGAGTGTCCCCGAGCACCGGGCCTGGCAGAGCCTTCCAGAAAGTCGCTCCTGCCCCGTGTACCTGGCCAGTGGCGCTTCCCAGGGGCAGCGTCACGGAGACTGCAGAACAAAGAGGAAGCAACAAATTCTTGGCAAGCGGTGAGCAAAGGTGAGTGAGTAAACATTTCTGCCTGAGCACATAAGCGCCCGCAATTACCCCAGCAGGAGGCCGGTGAGAGAGCGGTGCCGGCTGGGTTGTTTGCTCATTAAGACAAGAAAATCATTTATGTTCTGGGACTCAAGTGTCAACAGACCCCGAGAAATGTCGTTGCCTCAGCTGCCGCCCTGGGGCCGGCCAAGGGGGCAGCTGGGGTCCCGGGCACAGCTGGTGGGCCGAGAGCGGGTGTGCATGGCACAGACGTGCTCCAGGACCCACTTTCCATCAGGGTTGTCTCCCAGGCCCTCCCGTCTTGTTTTCCTCCCTCGCCCTTTCTCCTTCCTTTTCAGATCCAGCAATCAAGGGTGGAGAGAGTGCTCCGATGGGCCGTGCACACGCACCAGAGGCGCCGTACTTAGGGTGACCACCCATCCCAGTTTCCCCGGGACCGAGGGGCCTCCCCTGCCGTGGGACTTGCAAGTGCCCACACCGGGGCAGACCCAGGCCGACCCAGATGGCTGGTCATCGTGCAGCCCAGGAGCCCCGCTGCCACCCCTGAGGGGGGCACCATTCTCCCCATTTCACAGATGGTTACGAAGGTGGCCCCGCGAGCAGAGAAGGAAGGTTCTGGAGCTCCTGCTGCAGCCACGTCCTTGCCCCCCACCCAGCTGTTCTCCCACTTCTCTCTCCTTTCTCCAGCCCCCTTGCATTTGCTTCAGACCCGGGCAGGGAGGGAGTCACAGACCCTAGAGATCACCTGACTGACTCCTGCACTAGAACAAGGCAGACAGATGAGGCCCCAGGGACCCCCCACCTCAACGGCACCCTCCCCAGACCACCCCCCACTCCTCCAGATGGAGGGACAGACAGGGGCTCGCAGGAGCAGAAAGAAGCAAGCAGGAGGCGGGAGGAGACCCCAGCCAGCTCAGCCTACTGGGTGCGCCAGCCCTGCTACCCCTTGGCTCTAGGGGTAGACTCAGGCTGGAGGCAGGCTCAGGGCACCCGCGAGCCCCTCTGCCTCCTTGTCTTTGGATCTGCCACCTTCACTTGGGCAGCACAGAGGCTGGGGAATGGGGAGGATGCCTGAGGGGTGACGAGAGGATGAAGAGGATTCGCCACTCCCCCCGGCCCCCACCAAAGCCGTCCTGCTGTTCCCATGCTCCATCCCTCGGCTACACCCTGGAATAAGGCAGGGAAGCCCCCAGAGGCTGGCCTAAAGGAGGGACCCGATTCCGCTTCAACAAGGAAGGCAAGTAGCGATCAGCACCGTGCCCTTTAAGGCCCCACGCAGAGGCTATATTTAGGGCCGAGGACATTCCGCAGGACCTCGGGCAGCCTTCACTGGGAGCAATCGCTAATCACTGCATTGAGTTTACAGGTGCCCCTGGGCACACTTAACCCAGGGCAATGAATAGTTATTGCCGGCCTCCCGCTCGGGGCCTGTGGGCACACTTAAGCAAGAGCGCAGATCGCTGCTAGCGGGCACGGCTCGGGTACACCCTTGGGCATCCTGCGCCTTCAGCGGGGAGAGGCGGAGTATTAAATATCTATGTGCCCTGTGCCCACAGCTGCATTTAGCCAAGGGCAAGGCTGGTGAAACGGCTTTAATTAAAACTTAATGCAAGTTCAAGGTGCAGGCATGGAAGCAGCGGCTGCAGAAGTCACCAGGAGTGAATCAGTCAGTTCGACAAGGTTCTCAGGTCGGGGAGAGGGGCGGGGGGTGCAGGGCAGCAGAGACCCATCTTGCGTCTCGTGCCGGCTGCCCACCAGTCTGTGTCCATGTTCTGGGACGTGGGGCCACTGAGCGCTCCTGCACCTTGCTCCGTGAAGGATGCTGGGCGTCCCGGCCTCTAAGGCAGGTCGTTGGAGACAAAGCAGATGCCTGGGCCAGGAGTGGGTCCTGCTTTTCTCGGTAACTCCGCCCAGTGTTGCGTGACACCCGGCCACACTGTCCCCCTGGCGGTAGCTCCCAGAATTACAGGCCCAGCGCGCGGGGCGGTGGGGGGGGGGGGGGACAGCCAGGAATGTCAAAGGTCATTGCCTGGGGGCAATGCTTGGGGATCACAGGGTAGAGCCCAGCGATTCTTAGGGGGACCAGCAACAGGACAGTGGGCAGGGAAAGCCGTGCCCTCTCAGCCCCTGCTTCTTAAGATTAGGAAGCAGAGGAATATCCGAGCAGTCTGCCCATCTGCCTGGGCTTCCAAGCTAGAAGAGCTCAGGTCTTTCATCCTGGGGGCGCTCCCAGAAGTGGGGTTCCTCCTGCCACAGCACTCTTGTTAAAATTCAGACCAGATGGGAACACGGCTATAAGCTCTTTCTGGGGCAGGGGTCCACAACCTATTTAAATCTGTTCCCCTAGTAGCAGCCCAGTGCCTGGCATAGAGCCCATGCTACATAAATGCTCGTTGAATGATCGGCGATCGTCACAGGTGGCCTTCTCTCTCCCAACTCCTCCTTCCATTTCTCCTCTCCTCTCCTCTCCCTTCTCCTCCCTCAACTTTCCTTCCCCAGTCCCACCTTCCTTCCCCTACTCCCAGGCAGGGTGTCGCACACCAGTATCCCCAGGCCAAATCCAGTATTGTTTTGTTTTGTTTTGTTTTGTTTGAGCCACTTCATGTTTGCAAAATTAAAGTCACCTTTTTAAAATTAGAAGATTTCACGTACAATTACAGATGTCCAGTTTCTCACGGAAAGGTAGAAAGTCTGGCCGGACGGGGCTGGGGTGGAGTGGGGGCTGCCCCTCTGCGGGGGGCCAGGGCGGGAGGCTGTGCCTGGTTCATGGCCCAGCTCCTTGCACGCCTCCCCATCTCTCTGCTCCGTTCTCTCACCTGTAGAATTGGGACAATAACAGTACCCGTTGCCTCGGATCACTATGAAGATGAAATGAGTTCATATTTGCAAAGCGGTTAGAACAGGGCCCAGTGGGCGCCTGGGTGGCTCAGTCGTTAGGCGTCTGCCTTCGGCTCAGGTCATGATCCCAGGGTCCTGGGATCGAGGCCCGCATCGGGCTCCCTGCTCCGCGGGAAGCCTGCTTCTCCCTCTCCCACTCCCCCTGCTTGTGATCCCTCTCTCGCTCTGTCTCTCTCTGTCAAATAAATAAATAAAATCTTAAAAAAAAAAAAGAACAGGGCCCAGCATAGCAGGGGTGCCATGGAAGTATTTGCTAAATAGAGACACAAGTAAAATTCTTTACTGCCTCCTCAGCCTGGCACACTCATTTCTGGGGCGGGTTTGGCCCCCGCTGGCATTTGCATCTGTAACCACCCACCCATCCACATCTTGTTTAGCTCACAGGACTCGCGAGGAAACCTGACTACAAGGAGCCTGCAAGGCAGTGAAGGATTGTACCTGACGTCCTTTTATGGCTAAAAGTCTACAATTCCTTGACTTTACCCAGGTCAAGAAGGAGCATCCGAACTCACCATTTTTTTCAGTCTAGCGAGGGGGGACACAACGACAGAATGTTGCGGCATCAGTGATCACCCCAGTGCTCCCGCTGTCCTCTGTACCAGCTAGCTCAGAGACCTTTCACACGCCCGCACTCCTCCATCCCGTCCCCTCCCAACTCGCTCTGACAAACCCGGTGGGACCGGGCACCCTGTCAGCGCCCACGAATATCTTGCGGGAGAGCGAGGCCACGCGCAGCCCCCAGCGGCCACCTCTCTGCCCGGCCACGTCTCGAGGCTCAGGAGCCACAGCCTTTGCAGAGAAGCCCAGTCTGGGGTGTCCCCCCCCACCCTATCCCGTGTCCCTCTGGGGGCTCAGAGCCTGTTACCTGAACGGATGTGGGCCCATGGTGGACACTCTCCTGGCCCAGCCTGGATGTTATCACTGGACTCTTCATTATGTAGCAGACTCACTGCTCCAACCTTTTCACCCTTGTTTGAAATACTCTGATTTCCAACCTGTAATTTGCTTTCTGGAAGTAGGGGCAAAATTCATGTGTGCAAATGGAAGAGAAAAACACAGTTAATAGGCTGCAATTATAGGTCAGTGACTATTTCCAACAAGTATGGTTAACATCAACCGGCGGAAGCTGGGCAGGTCTCTTGCAAGAGGGCTGGGCCGGGAGACCAGAGCTGTGGGGTCGGGGAGCCTGGGGCCGGTTTCTGGGCTCCTGCAGCGCAGCCCCCACCAGGAAGGCCTCAGCGCTGGGGACATTTGGAGATTTCAGCAAGGTCAGACCTGGGCAGACAGAACAAGAGTTTATGCCTGAACGTCCTTTGACAGGTGACAAATGTTGGTTCACACCTTCTTCTTCGACCACTACAAATGACTCCTAAGGTAGGTTGTCTTATTCCCATTATAGAGATGAGGCAGATGAGGCTCAGAGTAGGTCAGGGACTACGCCAACAGGGTGCGGTGGGGAGCTGGGGGGGTGTCAAAGAGGAGACGACTGGAAGAAAGGAAGAGAAAGAGAAGGAACAGGTTAGTTCCTGTGATTTCTGCAATCCCCCTCCCGACCCTGTGACCACAGCTCCCTCGGGGGAAACTCTGGGCTTGGTCGGGGAAGGGAGGACAACAAAAGGGAGAGAGGAAATGGATGTGAGGAGAAGAGGAAAAGATGAGGGCTCTGGGAGGCAGGTCGCCCCCTCTCAGAGGCCAGGCCGAGGGATTAAAGCAGCAGGACCACCGGGGAGCTGCCACCAGCCCCCCTTCACCCCCAGGCCGTCAGCGGCTGCCCACATCAGGGCAGCTCCTCGTCCTCTGGCCCTCAAAGGCGAGTCAGCTCCCTCGCTGACTGGCATCAGCCCAGGTCTCGGAGCCCAGCCCCAAAACCCACCTCTCTGCTCCTTCCCTGGGCAGGGTCCAGGCTGTATGGCTCCTGAAGCTCGTGCAATTTCAGGGAAGGGCCTCTTAAGGAAAAAGAATACAAAAATGTCTTTTGCCAACATTACAGAGTCTTGTGAGCACATAAGGGACGAGAGCAAGTGAGGCACCCTGGGGCTTACGCTCCATCAGCTCTGAGGTCGATCAGCCTCTGCGAATCTGGTGGCACCTTGTTCTCATGTTATTAAGCACTTCCCAAGCACCTACTGGGTGCCAGACCCAAAGGCAAACACTGTGGGTATGCCCCCACCATCCCCTACCCCGCCAAAGGCACTCCAGATCCAGCCAGAGACAGCTGTGCAAGCCCGGCTGTGTGAGCAGGTATGCTATTCATAGGGCAGCAGGTACACGGATAGAAGCAGGTTTAACACACAGAGGTGATCAATATCAGGAAGACTGCCTGGAGGAGGCAGCCTCTGAGCTGGGTTAACACACCTAGCAGTCCTATCGACCTGCAGAGGCTTTCTCTACAAGGTCAGAAATCTCAGATACCCAGATACAAACCTAGAAGCTCTGGAGTAGAGAAAAATAGCAGTCATAGGACAAGGCTGAAAAGGTATACACCAACAGGAAATCCTATCGGTTCTACCTTCAAAATATATCTAGAATCTCACCCCTTCTCCTTACTCTGGTCCCTGACCTGGTTTTCTGCCCCTGCCTTCCTTACCTCCCGAGCCCCTGATTGTCTGTACTCCACATAGCAGCCATCTGGATCCTGTGCCACACTAGGTCAGATCATGTCATGCCTCTGCTCAAACCTCCCCATTTCTCACTCCGAGGAAAAGCCAAAGTCCTGGAAGGCCCCACATGATTCACCCCTCACCTCCCTGACCTCCGTTCCCAGTTCCTCACCTCCCTCCTTCTGCTCCAGCCACACTGGCCTCCCTGCTCTTTCTCAAGCATGCCAGGCACACTCCTGCCTCAGGGCCTTTGCACTGACCAAGTCCTCTGCCTGGAGCTGCCTTCTCTTAGATACCCGCATGGCTCACTCCTCCACCCCCCTCAAGTCTCTGTGCAAACGTCACCTTCTCAATGAGGCCTGCCCTCTTTTTGCCTTTATCCTATGAACACTGCTTCCTTTTTCTGTAACCCTTATGACCTTGTAATCTGCTGTCTAATTTACTTATTTATTATGTCTGTTGCTTGTCTCCCCACTCCCAAATGTAGCTCGCTCCGTGGGCCAGGAGTGTCGGTTTTGTTCATCACTGCCTCCCTAGCGCTGAGAGCAGTGCTCGGCGTATAGAGGGCTCTCGATAATGAGGGGAGCCGAATGAGGGAGAGCTCTGGGCAGAGAGCTTTATTGTCTTCTTTGGACTTTCTCTAGTTTCCGTAATTATCTTGTATTTGCTTTTGTCATGATTTTGTTTTCAGGTCGCCTTTTAAAAGCTCACAGTTTCACTTTCAGATTCTTGATACCATTGTGCATTTGGTGGGAGATGAATACCCTATTTCAGAAAACAGCCCCGGAAGCCTTTATGTGGGGTATTCTCTGGCGACATGCGTTCCTTTTAAAAGCATGCAGCTTCCACCTCTATCTTTAGCAAGAGATCAAGGCCGTGCCTCTGTCAGAGGGAGGCTCCGGGAGGTGGGAGATCACTGGGGAAATAAAGTGTCTAAGCCTGGATGTGCAAATTGACCTGGATCGTTTTAGTTTTGCATTCACGTTTGCACTTTGTAAATATTTGCCTGGCATCCCGCTGCTCACACCTGCTTGCTGTCCCCTCAAGTTTATGGAAGGCACCAGGTACCGTCATGCCTGTCTCTCCACCTGGCACTGCCGTGGAAAGAAAACTCTCCAGCGAAAGCCACAGGTGTCTCTGACGGCGCCTAAAACTAATGGCCTGTGGCTGGCCGCTGTGACTAATTCTCTGATTATTGACTTTATGATTTTACGCTTAAAACTTCTTTATAATAACACACAGAAATGTTTAATGGGCTCTATCCAGAGCCATAAAAATTACTTATTGAACAAGCGTTTTAAAACTATTAATCTATTGTTTTCCATTAATAATGGCTCTCCAAAGAACAGGCGACAGCTTAATGTATCCACAGCATTTCTCCCCGAAAAGTGGCCTTTTAATACATAAATGCCTCTCCCGCGGCTTTGCGGGTTGCCTGGCCATCGGGCAGCTGACCCTCCCAGGACAGATTTAGGCTCCCCCAGTCCCCGAAAGTGCTTTAAGGATTTCCCTAAAAATCCATAAGGGGGCCCTGGGAGGTTTTCCTAGCGTCTGAGAGAGACGGAAAAGACCCTCTCCTCAAACTCTCTCTCTTTCTGTGCAAAAGAGGAAGTTCTAGGGCCTGTTCTGTGGTGCCCACGGTGGAGGACACAGAGAGAAGTGGGCAATTTGCACATCTCTCTACTCTTGTTCCCTCCAGAAGGTTCCAGAATGACCTGTGTGACCCACCCCCATCCTACTTCTGTTGGCAAGCCCACCGCTGAAAGGCCCATTTTCTGCTGCGTCTGGGGACCTGTCCCCTTACCAAGCCTGAGATGGCTTCCTACCTCAGGTGTGTCAAAGTCACCCCTATAGCCCCACATCCATTTATTTTTCCGGGTGATTTAGATTTTGAAGCCAGATGGGCATTTCTTCTAGAGTTTCAGGCTGTTCATTCATTCAACAAGTATTTATTGAGTGTCTACTAAGTACCAGGCAGTGTTCTTGGTTCTAGAGATGCAGCAATAAATCAGGAACATTTGGGCCTTGCCCTCATGGAGCTCCCCTCTGTTGGGGGAGCACAGAATACCAAAGATTTAGAAGATCATTTTAAATAGTGGTGAGTGCTGAGAAGCCAATGGGGTGAGATTGTGACCGGGGGTGGGCAGGGACTGCGTTGGATGGAGAGTCAAGAAGGCTTCTTGGGGAGGCGGCCTTTGAGAAGAGATGTGAGTGACAGGAAGGAACCGGCAGTGAGAAATGGGGGAGGAGTATTCCAGGCAGGGGGAAAGGCAGTACAAAGGTCCTGGGGTGAGGTATACAGACAGACATCTCTCTCCAGGCGAAGGCCGACCTAGCCAACAACTGTTCCCTCCCTGGCAAGTGCAGAATTCTGCTCAGCCCCATCCTCAAAGTCTCCCTGTGGCTCCTGGGGATCCACAGGGCTGGGTAGTCTGAGAAGCACTTGACCTTATCTGTGGAACAAGAAGGTATTTCTGAGAATGAAGGAAGAATTTCTCCTCCCAGCCTTACTTTAATGGAATGGTTAGGAAGGGGCGTGTAGGAGTCATATTCTCAACCCTGAAGGGACGCTTTACTCCATGCAGAGGTCACAGTTCACAGAATATTAAAGGAGAATTGTCTTAGAGTGGGGCTTCTCAAACTTTAGTGTGTCTACAAATCACCCGGGGGGGGGGGCTTTTTAAAATAAAGATTCTGATTCAGTAGAATCAAGGTAGGGCCTGAGATTCGGCGATTCTAACAAGCTCCCAAGTGATGCCGATGCTCCCAGGTGATGTGGTTCAGAGACCACACTTTAAGTAGCAATGTCCTAGAGGCCATTAAATCGAACCACTGGGTTTTACAGGGGAAGATAAGGAGAAATGTGACTTAATGGTGAGAGTGGAGCACTGAAGTCAGAGCACCTGGGTTTGAATCCCTCCTCTGTTTGTGTATATGCGTATCTGTGTACTGATTGCTTAGTTACAGTTTCTTCCTGTGAATTGATTGTATGATGACAATGGTGGTGATGATGATGATGATGGCAAAGATGGTGATGATGATGGTGGTGGTGATGGTGGCAATGATAGTGATGATTGGGGGGCCTGGCTCAGTTGGTTGAGTATCCGACTCTTGAATTGGCTCAGGTCATGATCTCAGGGTCGTGAGATCAAGCCCCACGTTGGGCTCTGTGCTCAGTGTGGAGTCTGCTTGAGATTCTCTCTCTCTCTCCCCCTTTGCCCCTACCCCCGCAAAAAAGAAAAGATGCTGATGCTGATGGTGAAAATGATGATGATGGTGGTGGTGATGATGGTGTTGATGATGGTGTTGATGATGGTGATGATGATGGTGATGATGGTGATTATGGTGGTGATGGTGGTGATGGTGGTGATGATGGTGATGATGGTGATGATGGTGGTGATGGTGGTGATGGTGGTGATGATGGTGGTGATGGTGGTGATGGTGGTGGTGATGGTGGTGATGGTGGTGATGGTGGTGATGGTGGTGATGATGGTGGTGATGGTGATGGTGGTGGTGATGGTGGTGATGGTGGTGATGGTGGTGATGGTGGTGGTGATGGTGGTGATGGTGGTGATGATGGTGGTGATGGTGGTGATGGTGGTGATGGTGGTGATGATGGTGGTGATGGTGGTGATGATGGTGATGATGGTGGTGATGGTGGTGATGATGGTGGTGATGGTGATGATGGTGGTGATGGTGGTGATGATGGTGGTGATGGTGGTGATGGTGGTGATGGTGGTGATGATGGTGGTGATGGTGGTGATGGTGGTGATGATGGTGGTGATGGTGGTGATGGTGATGATGGTGGTGATGGTGGTGATGATGGTGATGGTGGTGATGATGGTGGTGATGGTGATGGTGATGGTGGTGATGGTGGTGATGATGATGGTGATGGTGGTGATGATGGTGGTGATGATGGTGATGATGATGGTGATGATGGTGATGATGGTGATGATGGTGATGATGGTGGTGATGGTGGTGATGATGGTGGTGATGATGGTGATGATGATGGTGATGATGGTGGTGATGGTGGTGATGATGGTGATGATGGTGGTGATGATAAGACTTTATAGAGTGGATGTGAGAGTTGAATGAGTACATACAATGGCCTTCACAGGGTGCTTATCCCAGAGAGTGTGCCTAAAGATGACAGCTCTTATACTAGCAATTACTGTCACCCAGAGATAAAAGGACTTCTCCATGGTCACAGAGCGGTAGGACCAGATGCCCAAATATCCCTACTCTCATTTTCCAGCTCATCACATCATCAAACAAATTAGAGTGTCAGAAATCAAGTAAATGTTAGAACACACATGACCCTGAATCAATATTGTACCCATTGTAATGCTCTCCTGCTGGGGTAGTAGGTACATCTTACATCTGGCAGACCTCAGGGTCATCACTGTATACACAGCTTCCCATTGTCTGGGAGAGTCAGAAGAGGAAAATGGGGATTCTGAGCTGAATCTGCACAGCACAGACATGGGATAGCCTGGTACGGTTTAAAAGATATGAATAGGCCCTGGGTAGGAAGGTGTTTACCAGTCACTTGACTGGTAAAAGTTGAGTAGGAGCAAGCCAGGGCCATCCCTGAAGCTTCGCAGCTCAGTTGACTGCAAGTAGAGGGCACAGCCTATGCACAGGCTAGAGGTAAGAGGCAGTACACAGTGTCCTGGTGGCACCCCCACTCTAACCTCTGCTCACCCCATCCCAATCCAGCCTCCAGATGGCAGCCAAGAAGGATCTTGAAAATGTGAGATCATCCCAGTCTCTTCTGAGAATGCTTCAACAGCTCCCCACTACCCTTGGAAAAATCCAAACACTCGCACAGCCCACATGGCCCTGCCCACCTCTCTGAACCTTTCGTCACCACATTCTGGCCAAGCTGGTCTTTTCTCTACCTCAGGGCTTCTGCACCTGCTGTTCCCTCTGCCTAAACACTGTTCCTCATTCTTCACATGGCTGGTTCCTCTTCATGTAGCAGGTCTCAGCTTCAGTGTTGTCCCCATGGAATACCCTCCCTGGCCACCTCCACCTATTCTCTACCCTGGCCTTGTGTTTGTTTCCTTCCTGGTTCATATCACTGTTGGGCACTCTGTTATTTGGTGGTTCACAAAGATTTCTGTATATTTCTCCCATTTGAGTGAAGAGAAGTGCAGATAAGCTTGTCTCCCACTCAAGTGAGGATGAGCTCAAGGAAGACAAGGGCCATATCTGTCTGTCTGTCCTCACTCTGCTCCCCTGTACCTAGTAGCTGTGGCTGGTACCTAGTAGCTGTTCAGTAAATTTTTGACTAGGAAATGGCTATGGCTGGGTCCTAGCATGCCCCAAAAAGAGGAATGCTGGAAGTAATTTGGGGGGATTTTTCTGTTTCCCTTCTTCCCACAGCACATAACTGATAAGCTCCATGGAAAGGCTCAGACTATGTCTAACTCGCTCACCGTAGCACCTCCAATGCCTTGCCCAGTGCCTGGCATCCCCAGACCCCTGATAAATATGTGTTAAATATGTGTTTGCATCCCAAGTGTGCTGGAGTTTCCTGTAATCGCACTGAAGCAACAGTATCAAGTGTGACAGTTTGGCCACAGTAAGTAGCATCTTGCTGGATGTGACAGTTTCCCAAACAGGTCCCTATCCAGGCCTCCCTAATAGTACAGAGTTGATAGAGACCTTAAATTCAATGTACTCTAGACATGACTTCTCTGACAACCAGAGAAATGGGAAGATGGAAAAAATCTCATCTCCTGGGTTAATGTCTCTCTCAACAGAGACATTAAGCTGCCGGGAAGAACACAAAATGCATGGGGTCCTAGTGTCAGGACGTCAGGGGTCAGATTCCGGATCTAGCTGCATGGCCCAGGCAAGTCATTTAGCATCTCCAAGACTCTACCTCCTCTTCTGCAAAATGGGCAGATGTGCAGTAAAGGACTAACCTTGCCTATGGAAAGGTTTGGCCCTTTGTCCCCAGCTCCCAGGAGGCAAATTCTAAGCCCTTGGAAAATATTTCACCTGATAAAGTATCTTTGTTTACCTGCAGGCCTTGGGCCACACCAGATGACCTATCCTCATGACGT